AAGGTTTATCAAGATCGTTAGTAGATAAGGGTAAACTAAAATCGTTTAAAACGTTATAATGAACATTTTCTTGCTCTTTACTTTTAATTTTGCTGAAAAAATACTTTCTACAATCATATTTGTTTACATCTAAAACATCATCAAATACTAAATAGTTCATTTTTAACAGTTTTTTTTAATAGGTTTTTGCAAAGATTTCTTTAAAAGTTTATAAAAAGTGTCTACGTATTCGCTAAAGTTTTTAAAATAAATGTTTTTATTTTCTTCGTTAATAGGTAACAAATCTTTTCTCTTGACTTTATACGTTGTATTTAAATCGTCTACTTGTCTTACATTGTAAATATGAACCGGTAAATAACCTTGCACTGAAGGGTTTGTGCGTTTGCTGACTTTCATGATGACACTTTTAGCAAATCGAGTATATTAAACCGTTCAATACGGACGGTTTCGTATACTCGATTTGCTAAAAGTGTGTTTAGCATCTTTTTTGTATTTTCTCAAATAACATCCTGTTCCAACAAATAAGGGTTTTAATAATTTTAATTTTTGATTTATGTGTTCTTTTTCTACGCGATGCAACATGTTAGATGTCAAGTCATGTTTGAATTTTTTGTTGCTTACGTAGTGCTTTACCTTTATTGTCATCAGCATCCAATTCTTCGTTGCATACGCAGTGTTTTACCTTAATTGTCATCAGCATCCAATTCTTCGGGACTTATACCGCTTGATTTTTTTCTTTCTCTTTTAGTTTTTGTTCAATTTCTTCATTGTAATAACTCCATATATTTTTTTAATTGACCTTTATCTTTTAATTTTTGATATAACAGTTTTAAACGTCCAATGATCGATTCAGCTAATTCCGTAATTTTTAGAATGAAAGTGTTGCACGTTTTCGGCTTCGCACATACACGCTCGTTCATACACGCTCAGGACTCACCGAGAGTATGCTTCTCAGTGGGGGCACATTCATCAAGTATCAGTGAACTCAACGAAACTCAATGTGGTTAACATATATGTGGTTAACATAACTGACTAAGCTAACTAGACAGACGTCATCAAGTATCAGTGAACTCACCGAAACTCAATGTGGGTAACATATAATTAACTAAGCTAACTAGACAGACGTAATTAAGCGTTCGCTTACAACTTCGTGCGGAAATGATACGATGCACTAGGCTACGTCGACGTGTTGTTAAAGCGTGTTTTGAATTTATTTAAATAGTCACTTTAACACTTTACGCAGAGATTATTTTTTCTACACAGAGTTATATTAAAAGTTGTTTACGCACATTTTTTAATTAAAAAATTCCCTATTTAATTCTACGTAAAAAGCCAGATTAAAAGTTTCTAAACATATCTTGTTTGTCACAAAATTCTTTTATTTTACTTAATCTGTAGAGATTAAATATTTTTGTATAAAAGCTGCATTTTCTTATATCAAAAATCAAATGGCAATTACAAAGCTCGTAAAAAGAAACATGCAAAAAATCGTAACGATTGTAATCATGGACGATCAGGAGTTGGATTTTACTCCTTTCGATTTAACGGTACCCACTGAGAAAAAAGAGCTCTGGAAGAGCTCCTGGAACTCTATGATAAGCTCCGTTAGTAGAGTAGATTAAAGAGTAAATTTTATAATGCCTATATATTGAATCAGTTTCACTTTTTATATAAAAATTAAACACTCTATGCAATAGTTAGCACCTTTAAGTAATGTATTAGATTTTTCGTGTGCATGATATTAATTTTTAGTTTAGTCGTTTAAATGATGTTATAGTTGGTAGGGTTCTTTGCAGAACTCTTCCGAAAGAGCATTTGCAAAAATGCGCTAATTGTTGCATTAAAGCGCATGCGCTTTTTAACAGTTTCATGAAATTTAATTGTTAAAAAGCAGAAATATGTATTGATATGCAATTTTATTTTCTGTGATGAAATTCTTTAAAGTTTATGCAATATGTATTGGTAAAACAATATATATTGCTCGTATACGATATAATGAATTAGGATTTAAAGTTTATGTTCATGAATATGTTTTGAATTTAATATATAATTGTCAGCAAATAATGTTACAAGTTTTTTTTATTAATATAGTTTTTCAGTTTTTATTGCTGATTTACTCCAAATAACAGTTGTATACAGACCAGCATTTAAAGGTATGTAAATTTTTATAACTCCACTGTAAATTTTTGTTCAGAATAAATTAACAATAATGTAAAATATCAACTAAATAAAAAGAAAGTGTTATTAAAATTTTAACTATAATTTGCACAAGATGTTTTAAATAATATGTTAAAATTTTTACTATTATTACATAATTATATATCATTCATCATATAAATTTTTATATTTTGACAATAAATCATTTTTGCAGCTAATATGCACAAGAGAGTTTCATTTCATAAGCTATTACGCTCACAGGCCTACAAAAGATTAAAGTATTACAGAGAGCAAGCTGCAATAAATCATAGCTCTGATACAGACTCAAACAGTGGCAATGTAGATTTTGAGAACTTGGTTACTGAAATACCTCTTCATCAACTAGTTGATTCACCTTCACTAGTATTGCAACCAATGCAGATACCACTTCCTCAACCACTCACTTCCCAAACACAACTTCCTCATACTCCTCTGCCTCCTATCCTAGATGATTCATCAGATGAACCTGTCTCTTTTTCAAGTGACGAAAAAATAAATATTAAACAAGAGTTGGCAACCTTTGTGGTGGAGTCTGCTTTACCTGAAAGTGCAACAAATAAACTATTAAAGCAGCTAAGAAAGCATAAGTGTTTCAATGATGAATTACCAAAAACACGTAAAGCCTTGCTTAGAACTCTTACAGATAGAATTGTGCTACGAGAGGTTCCCCCTGGTCATTACTATGACTTTGGAATCAGAGCAGGATTAATTCAATCAATTCAAGAAACAAATGATATTTTGGAAAATAATAGTACTCTTGAAATATTAATAAACATTGATGGTATTAGTATTAGTAAAAGCAGTACAAGCCAGTTCATGTCAATATTGGGTAAAGTGAATAATTTAGATTTAGTCTCTGTCTTTAAAATCGGTGTATATCATGGACATAAAAAACATGATTCATTAAATTTATACCTAAGTGATTTTGTTGAAGAATGCATTGAACTGTCCAACAAGGGGATTGATTTTGAAAATAAACAATTTAATGTTCGAATAAGTGGTTTTGTTTGTGACCTTCCAGCTAAAAATTTCATCCTTAATACAATTGGACATACAGGGGAATGTTCCTGTACAAAATGTGAAGTGATCGGAGAAAGAATAAACAACAGACAGGCTTTCTTGGAGATTGACGCAGCGCTTAGAACAGATGCATCCTTCAGAGCTAGGCAACAGCCGGAACATCACCATGGTGAAACACCCCTTGAGCAAATACCTTTCTTAGATATAGTAACTATGGTAGTTATTGACCCTATGCACCAAATTTACATTGGCACCGTTAAAAAAATTTTAAAAGAGTTATTCGGAAAAGCGCCATCTGTAAATAAGCTTAATATAAGAACAAGAGCCAAAGTCTCTGATAAAATCATGACCATTAGTAATGAAATCCCATTGGAGTTTCAACGTCGCCCTCGAAAACTAACATACTTAGCATTATACAAAGCCACAGAATTTTGTCTTTTTTTTACTTTATATTGGTCCTCTTGTTATGAAAAAAATACTTGATGGTTCGCAAAGAAATGAAGCTCTATATTGTCATTTTTTAAATTTACATGTTGCAACAAGTATTCTTGCTAGACAAGCAACTCCTCCTGAGATTGCATATTGTGAAAAATTACTTAAAAATTTTGTTTCTGATTTTGCTATGCTATATGGAAACAATCTTGTGAGTGCTAATATCCACTCTCTAATCCATATAGCTAATGATGTGAGGAAATTTAGGCCGATTGAAAAATACTCTGCATTTGTGTTTGAGAATGCAAATAGGTATATTCGAAATATGCTGAAGACATCACCTAACCCATTACAACAGATAATAAAGCGTGAACATGAAAGAAAGATAAATTTCCCTGTAAAAAAGTCCAATAAATTTGAAAATATTGAGTTTTCAAAACAACACATAAAGGGTCCACTCATAGATGCAAACAATGGACCGCAATACACATCAGTAAAATTTGAAACTTTCACCTTAAAATGTAGTAGTCCCAACAACTGCTTTATGACAAGCGAAAATGAGGTTTTCATATTGGAGAATATCGCTCGATCAACAGAAAGCAATCAACGTATCCTGATTGCAAGAAAGTTTACTAGGCTTCTTGATTTATATGTATTTCCGTGTAGATCTTCAAACCTAAATATTTATTTAGCCATGCACTTGGGTGAACTGCAAATTGTCCAACTTCAAATAGTGAAAGCCAAATGTGTCAAACTTACTAGCGATGACAATTCATTTGCAATTTCTCCACTTATACATTGTTAATAAACTTTAAACTCATTTAAATTTGCATATATTACATAAAATATATGAGAAAAAAAGTAAATATTTGTGTGTATATTTATGTGTATATTATATAAATACTGCATAGTTATATTTATTCTTTTTATGTCAAATGATGGTATAAATATGTGAAGTGTGCAGGGTATTAGCCAACACAATCGCACTGGGGGATTCCCAATGGGTTTATAATTCTCAATATTTTAATGACCTTTTTTTTTTTTTTTTTTTGTTGTTGTTGAAGTAATAGGACAATATCAATAAAAAATTTCCAATATTTTGTAGAACAACAGTTTATATTTCCAATATCATAAAAACGCAGTAAAAATAAATTCACAACACATCAGGCTAACACCCTGATGTGTTTTGAATAAAGTCAATATATAGGAAAAAGTATATATAATATATAAAATCTTTAAAAACTATAAGAATTATATAATCTTTAAAGAATTTTAATTCGTTTCTCCAGATGTCAAGCAATTATGTTGCATTCCGGTTCAAAACACCATATCTGCATTTAATGTATGCCCCAATGGCCTGGTTAGTAGACTCTGCAAATTGTTATTGGCCTTGCAATCTAACAGAGGAAGAAGAAGAAAAGTTAATTGAATCTTGTGTTGAACCTCTTACTGGAGTATATGAGTGGCAGCTCTACCAGGGTAGTATTCTAAGAAAGAATAGTAAGTATAAAAAAAGATTATTTAAATACTGCTAGTTATGCCAAGTTTAAAATTATGAATTTTGTTAAAACCAAATGAAAAAAAAATAATGTATTACTTATAAAACCTTACAAAGCTTTTTAAAGCAATTTTATTTTAAACAAGCTTTTTTTGGGGAAAAATTGATTTAAAGATATTTTCAAGAAGTTTAAATGAAATAAAAGTTTAATGAAGATAAAAACTTAATTAAAAATAAAAACAAATTGATATTGTTTTTTTAATTGCTGTTGTTAAATGTTTTCAGTATCTCATATTTAAACAAGATATAATTTTTGCTTGCAGTTTCACTTTCAGAAGCCAAGAGTTAGGCAGCTCTAAACAAGAAAAATACATTCGTGGGTAATGTAACAACTACTGAAGATGAAGCGCAACCAAAAAGAAAGGTTCGCTTATCAGCTAAGGCCAGGGATTTACTGCATCCTGCTTATTGGGACAATAAGGAGGAAGAAAATGAGAACAGTTTTAGATTGTCTCCAGTTCCACCATTTCCAACTTACAAGCGAAAGAACACAGTGGAAAACAATGCAGGCATGTTTAGTTAAAGTTTAATATATTTATTTTGAAATTTTTATCCAATTTACTTTAAATTACACAATTTAAGTACAATTAAAATTATGTAAAAAAAAAAAAAAAATTACACAAGATGCTTTTTTTAAAAAAACAACATAATTTGAGGCTATTTTTTAAAGTGCAATGAAAATCATTGCATTAAAGATGACATATTTTTAATTAATAAAATGTTATTATGAAAGCTTATATAATTTTTATACAGTTTTGATATTAACATTTATGCTTTTGTTGCAATGCTTTTGTACAGATAATCGAAAGTCAATGGAGATCACCCACACTGCAAAAAAAAAAAGTAAAATCTTGTCTTCTCCTGAAATTAATGTTACTTATACTCCTGAAACCTCAGCAGACAAACAACTCACTCTCCAAATCACAAGTGAAAATAGAAATAAATCTCTTGAAATCTTTTCTCACCAAATAGGTAATGTGAGCCGAAACATTTATTCAAACAAACAGTAAATTAAACATTTTTGAGATTTTTCGATTAAAAATAGTTACAATTTACATGCATTGACTCATCTGTTTTTAAAAAAATAATTATATGTTGTTGTTTTTTTTAGTATAAGGATTAAAATTATTTTGTTAATAGAATAAACAAAAATTAAAATATAAATTTTAATGTTTCACAACAAGGATCTTTATCCGTAGAAAAGTGTGCATGAATTATATTGAATTTATATAACAAATAAAAACTGTTTTTTTTTTTAATGTTTTTTTAAAATGCAAGTAACAATCTTTAAAATTTTTTATTGTAAATTTTTTTTTTAGAATCCAATGTCACCTCTGGATCTTCAATGTTTGAAAATATGTATTCTTCTGTTATGAATAGAGTACAAAGTTCTACTGACAGGGGTATACAGCTTATTTCAACATTAATGAGGACTCGGGGGAGCCTCAGTAAAAGAGGAAGGTTATCATAAGAGACTAATTTTTGTTATTATGCAATTAAATTTAAAAGTTTTTGTTATCATGTGTAATTTTAGTGGAATAAACAAAAAATAAATTTCAATTAGTAACATTTCCCAAAAATGAATGACCTTTTTTTTGTTGTTGTTGTTGAAGTAATAGGACAATATCAATAAAATTTCCAATATTTTGTTTAGTATTAATTAATATTCCCAATATGATAAAAAATCGTAAACTCTGGCGAAAAAGTATTTGATATTTTGATATCATTTTAAAAGAAAAAGTTTATTCTTTTTCTCAAAATAGGTGTTTTAGAGCTTGAATTTATGATTAAAATTTAATTTTTCTTTTTTTTTTTGAGCATCCAGTACTTCTAGATTGTCTGTGTTAGGGAACTGGTCTCCTGCCAAGAGTAGAGAACAAAGTCCTACTGCCATGGCTGCAGGACTTACTCATCACCAATCAGGACTAGTAGCCCCAACATAAGAGGTAGAAAGTGATTAGTAAAAGACTGAGTTTTAGTTACTTAGCATAAGTAGTAATATATATATAATTTAAAAACTTTTTAACGTGTTTCATCAATAACAATTGTTATTGATGATTAAACCAAATAAAACAAAAAAATACATAAACCTTAAAAACTTAATAGTACATAGTTTTCTTTGTTAAATCAGAAGTCTAAAGGATTAAATTTTTTTTGTAAAGTAACAGCTGATGCTGACTCTGATGTGTGGTGTTATGGAACCTTGGAAAATTTGTATAAACACCGAAAGAAAGCTCAAACAGGTAGTGTATATAAGGTGTATAATTTGTGTGATCATTGTGTTTTTATTTTTTGCATAACAAATATACTCTGTCAATAACAACTTATAACATAAGCTTAACTGTGAATAGGTATTTAACTTTGTTTTATAGTTTTGTGTGTGCATGATGAAAATACAAAATAATTTTTGTTTTTTTAGAATTTAATCAGCACATGCTGAATTTTACCTATGTAGTAATGGATGCACTTAATATAAACACTGTTTTACGCAATAGAAAGCGCTCTGCAAGTTCTAAAAGCCAAACAGAGACTCCTCTGATGATGATGCAGTTGAGGATGATTCTGTTTTAGGACGCCTGCCTATGACCACAAAAGAACAATATTATAATCTGGAGGAAAAACTGAAAAATGAATCTTTTGTCAAAACTTGAGTAAGCTGGATACATATTTTCTTTGTATAGTTAAAGTCATTATTTACAAAACGAAATTTATTATGATGTTATTAAAATGTAGTGAGTCTTCAGTGATCTAATCTCACTCTAATATAAGCTAATATAAGTCTATCTACATCTTAAATCTGGACTTTTTGTTATTATTAATAATTTTTTTTCATTCTTAAAGTGTTTTCTTGTTATGTATGTCAGGCAGCTTAAAAATCTGCTCTCTTGCAAATAATCTAATAATTATCTTCATTCACTTAACTATGTAGAATGTGAAATGTCAAATTATACAGTTTAAATTCTAAATTACATTCTTTTTTTGAAACCTTATTGGTATTGCATTATTTATTATGTAAAAAAAAATTTTGTTATTTATAAAATATTTTTTTCAGAAAAAGTTGCTTTTGGAACGTTTAAAGGCACTCAAGCTTGATACATTAGCTACAACAACTGCAGCTAAAATGATTATGAGTGAAATCTTCTCTCAAGACATGCTGAAAAACATGTGTTATGCTGGGCACAAAACATATAAGGAGAAGAAGATGGCAGTCAAAAATGGAATTGTGTACATCACACTGATAGGTGAGTTGTAACAACTAAACATTTTTCAAATAATATAAATAATAATCAAATAAACAAGCATTGAATATCATAAAATAAATTTAAAATCTTTTCAGCTGTGCTAAAAAAACTGGGACACAAAGACGTAATGAAGATCGAAAAAGGTCTTAAAGACGCCATGTACAAGGCAAATGATAATATTACGAAGGAGATCAGGAAAAAAAAAATTGGAATAAAAATTGTTCTTATAAATTTGGCATTTTTTTACTTTGTTCTTTCCTGTGCGATATTTTATTGCAAACATTTTTGTGGGGGTTTTTTAAGGGCTTAAGTTTTTTTAGGTGTAGCATTCCCTGCTTTTCCTTCAATATAAAATACTCGTGCAAGTGATTAGTTATTCAAAATATGAAAGTGTGGAATTAAGAATTGTGATACCATGCATTTAGATGAAAAAAGTATTTTTTGAAGAATGCTTACATGTTTAGATTTCTTGATAGAGCTCTACAAGAACTCTTTTAAAAGCGCTCTTCGGTACTTTACTAAAAGAGCTCTGTGCGGAGTGTCTCGTAGAAGACCTCTTCGAAGAGCTCCTGGACGAGTTCTAGAAAAACCAAATAAAGAGCTCTTTAAAGAGCTCATTTTTCTCAGTGGGTAGATGAGTTTATAGAATCGTTAAATAAAAAAACAGAAGATAAAGAAAAATAAAAAAAAGAAATAATTGAAACAGGACCAACTAAAAAAAATACAGATTTTTTGTTTTTGTTTTTTTTAGAAAAAAACCAAATACAAGTTGAAAAGAAACCGAGATAAAAAGAACAAATTTATATAAAAAAAAAATTAATAAAGACATCAATTATTTAAATAATGAAGCATGTAAATTAATTTTTTTTACAATAAATTATTTTTTCTTTTTTTTTTTTTCGCTGCATTTCTTTAATGTTTTCGATTAACATAAGCTTCGTTTGATATTTTCCGTCGTTTTACTTTTTTACCAACGCGTCCCAATTTACGATTAGATTTGTTATCTTTATATGTTTTTTTAGTTTTTCGTAAACATACTTATATTTTTTCAATTGCTTGGTATCCCTCAATTTTCTGTTTGCGTATATTGCGAGTTTGTTATAGTACGTACAAAATCAATTTGTTTATTTAAACAATTTTCTTTCGTTTTTTTTTGATCTAGGTGTATATCTTGTACGAGCCATTTTTTTATTATTATTTTTGTCGTTAAAAAATATATATATATTTATTTATGTAATAACATCTTTTTATTTTTTTTTACAGATTTAATTATATGAAATAAAATAAGTGAATACGAATTAACAAATATCTTGTCGTTCTATCTTAAAGCCTATTGGCAGCAATTTGCTAATTATTTGAACATGCATACGTATGTTATTGATGCCATTGACAACGACTACAATAGAAGTTATTTAAAAATATGTCGAGTAATTACGCTACATTTTCAAGTTAATCCAAAGGAAAAATTTAATCCACAAATTATATTAAAAAAAATAGTTAAACGACGAAAATAATTAAACGAAGAACAAGAAGAAAAAAATTTAAATTAATAAACAATCTGATTGAATTAATTATTAAAGTTAAGAATCTTGTTGAAGAACCCATGGAATATTAATTTTTTTATATTATTGTATAACATATTATAATTTTTTTTAGATTAACTGAAAATAAAATGGAAGAAATATATGCAAATGTAAATAAAGCCATCTATAAAAATGGCAAACCTGTGCTATATAATGTTGAATTTGTCAAACCTTATAAAGCGCTTTATGTTGATGGAAATTGCGTAATGAATCTAAGGAATATAGATGTGATATATGAAAAAGAAGACTATGAAATAGATGATGACAGATGATTATGATGAATAGATGATGAAGATGATTATGATGAAGACGATGACGATGATGATATTGAAATGAAAGTGTATGAAATATTGAAAAGTATAGATGATGAATATGATAATGAAGATGATGATGGTGATGATGATGAAAACGAACCTATGGAAATAGACAATATTTAAAATAGAATTTATATTAATTTAAATTTTTTATTTTGTATTTTTATTGAAAAATATATTTTTTTTCATATTGCTTTTTTATATGTTGAGACTTTAATAATATTGTAACAAAACAAGTATTAACACAATGAAATTTTTTTTTTTTTTCAGGTTCATAACAAAAAAAAAAACTTATAAAAATTATTCAAACAAGATATGGTTAATGGTTAATTAACGTAGTCGTCAGTTGCAACAAACGAGAATACTTATAAAGAAAGCAGAAAATACGGAACGTTAGATACGGAAGATACGGATCCGATAGTTATAAACTGTTAGCAGAACACTTCTGTTCACAATTGTTATGAATGCGAGATTGTCACTTCTATTTCAGTAGAAGTGGTAATTTCATATTCATAACAATGTAACATTTGTTTTTGATTCGCTGTTATTGCCTTAAAGTGACAATATCGATTATATACAATAACGATTTTTTTGTAAATTATAACTTATAATAATTTGTATTTTTACTTTGCTTTTTAATAATGTTTTTTTTTCAAATTGCTTTTTTTATAATATGTTGACCATAAATGTTTATAATTTTACCCATAATATTACATAATATTACTCATAAATTTAAAAAAAAAAACAAACATTTATATCATTTCAATACTTTTTTTAGCAACTAATTAATAAAATGGCTGAAGCTATGAACGCAGAATATTGTTATTATTGCAAATTGCCTATGAATTTGGATCAACTACTAGACCATCAACAAAAATGTAATGCATCGCAAAACTATGACTGTTTTAGTTAAGGAAAAAAAAATTAACTTGACAGAAACTTGGGAACACGAATGCGAACTTTATCACGAAGAACACGTAGAAAAAATTCGCACCAAATTATGTGTGTATTGTGGAACTTAAATTCAAAAAATTAATTTTGATCAACACGTTATCAACTGTTTGCAATGTTTTGAAAACGAATGGAAAGAAATTATGGAAAAACAAAAAAATGTCATTAACGATCAAAACCAAAGTTTAGCTTTTTTAAACATGACTACCAATAATATTCTAATCAGTTTAGAAACTGTCAACACTCAATTGGTTGCTATGACTAAACGAATGGACAACATGGGCTTGGAAATTAAAAAATTTGCTGATAAAAACAAAGCTGAAAAAGATTTACAAAAAAAAATAAATCAATCATTACAAAACTTTATAAAGGATGTAGACTATAAAAAATCCATGTCTGATAAATCGATTATAGAACTGGACCAAATGGATTTGAGATTGCAATCTAACGAACCTTATCATACTCAACCTTCTTATTCGGCAGACGGTTATTTGTTCCGATTAAAAATTTTAGGTTACTGTAATAAAGTAGATAAAATGGCTATTTATTTTCATTTGATGCAGTCTCCAATGGATCATTCTTTAAAGTGGCCGTTATATTGAAAACACAAAAGTGATAGCCGATTATAGCGAACCGTTTAACGAATGTTTTGAAAAACCTGCTCTAGCATATAACCGAGCTGTTGGAACAGAAAGTTTAGCAACACATGAACAATTCAAAAAACATTATATAAAAAACAATAAACTTATCATACACGTTTCTTTTATATAATTTATTATGTATTTTTTTTATTCTGTTTTTAATATAATTTTGTATTTAATATGTATTTTTTTTTGAATATTAAAAAAATGAAAAGTACAATCATGAGAGATTTGGCAGACTATAATACTACATCTGATGTGAAAAAATTAAAAATGTTTTTAGAAATTCCTTACGGTGTAAGAGAAAGAATTAAAGACGGATTTGATTTGATGGAATAAATCCAGTGCAAGAATTTTGTATATCAACACTTTGAATACGAAACTAACGGAGCAAAAATAAAACTTATTTTAAATTTAAAAAAAAAAAAAAAAAAAAAAAAAAATGTTCTTTTGAAAACAAAAATTGTCATTAAGAATCGAAACATGTAATTGAGAAAATGTAAGTTGTAATTAAGAAATAGAAAGATGTAATTGAGAACACGAAAATTTTAATTTAGATATCGTTTTAAAGGAGTAAGTGTAAAATGGCGCTTAAAAAAAATGGCGCGTAAAAAAATGGAGCGTATAAAATGACGCACTTAAAAATGACGTAAGATTTGTAGCGTAAATTTAATTTTTTCGGGAAAAATTTATGGAAAAATATATAATTTTTGGGCAAATGAATTTAACATAATAAACACTAAAAACATTTTAGGGAAAAATTTATAATTCTATTAAAAATTATAATTTAAAATTATATAATTAAAAATCACTTCATTGATCATTAAAGCACCAACTTGTACGTCTTCCATATTTAAAATAGTTGCATAGTGCGTGGTTGTGTGTTGTACCGCACGTGCACAATCTCCTCCCATTATAGTATTTTTCGCCTCAATTACAATTCGTTCTAAGTACTGCATGCGCTGTTCCGCAATCCCGTCACCTAATACAGGTGGAATGCGAATTGCATTTTTAACGTTACTTTTAATTTTGGACCAGATCGTTTCCACCGGGTTCAACATTGGACTGTAAGGTCCCAAACGTAACAACTGAGCTGGTGAATTATCAAACACCCTTTGCAAAAGAGCGTGACAAGGAGCATTATCTGTTTCGACGACCAAATCCTCCAAACGATTCCCGGATGTAACCCACTGGTGAAACATAGCCAACATCCACTCGTTACAGGAATCTGCTTTAAATGATCCCCTGCGAGTTTCTATCATGACGACATTTGTAGTTAAAATAGCTGCGATCCTTGCGTTTTTCTACAAAAAAGGTTAAAATTTGTTTCATCCAACCAAACCATCTGACGACCATTTGTGATATGTTCGTTGATGTTTCTAACATATTCAGCTTTTTTTTGTTTGTTTTCATAACTGTTCATTGTAGAAGGCTCCTTGTGCACTTTTTTTAATGAGAACAATCTGCCTTCGAGGTAATTTGCTATTGTTGATGTGCTAACGTTTATGTTAAATTGTCTTAATATCTTTGTTTTGATGGCCACCAATGTTAATTGACAATCATTTTCAATCCATGTTAATGTTTCTTCGATTTGATCTTCGGTCAACTTTTTTGGTTTAAAACCTCCTTTTCCGATGAAATTTGAATTTCCGCTGCGAACCCAATTGTATGCTGTCTTATATTTGATACCTAGCGTTTGCGCGAG